CATACAGTTGACTTTATTCCCAATAAAAATGTTCTTCTATGATTACTTTCATAGGGAGAAAAACTAATATGATTCTAAGATAGTGGTTAATCTCTGTGACTGCTGATAAAGCCGAAAGTACGCTATTCCACAAAAATCAATATTGCACAATTGGTTATATCACATTCCAGCTTACGTTTGTGGAGGTATAATCTCACTTTGAACAGTAGGATACGAGAACGTTAGCTCAAATGACTTGGAAAGACATTCAAACTCCAAAACCTTGATAAACACATAGGGTAGACACCCAGCCTCGTCTGCGGTAAGAGACTATTGGTATGAGTCATAAGAGTGGTAAGAAAGATAGATTTCAAGAATATTTATATAAAAATAGATAAGGGAACATACTAAACATGCTGAAGAGATGGCCGTCCGTATTATCAAGTCCCACAGTTTTCTTAAAAACGATTTAATATCATAATTAAACCATCTCAGTATTCTTTTATCTGATTATACTATCAACAGCAGTCTAAATTACGATTCTTCCTACTCCGTAACCTTCAGTGATTTTCCTTATTTCACCGTTTCATTTTCCGCATAAACTGAATTGACAAGTGGATGTTTAGCAAGTGGAAGGGATTTTCTTGTCAAAAATTGAAGACATTTACACCTTTTCATATATCTAGAAGGCTTTATTAGAAAACTGATGTTATCTGTAAAATGTGATTTATTTGAGCAGTGAGTTTTTAACATTCTGATGTCATTTAATTGTTTATGAAATAATAGGCTGAATAACGCAATTTAATAAAAAGGAATTTAAGAGTGAGGAGAATATATTTATTATTTATGTAATATTTTGTGCTGTTGTCTTAAATATTTTAATCAATGATGGTCTCAAGTGTTTTACACTCATGTGTTTATCACTGTTATGGTTTTCAAAATAACATTCAATCGTGATGAAAATTACATGCGATTTCACAGGAGCATCAAGGCCATGATACACAGCCAATCTTAATTTACCTACTGATATCAAACGGACGTATATTTCATTCAGTCTCTGATTCTCTAGTACTTGATTACACTTTCATTAAGACCCTATGCTAGCTTGAAACTCTGGAGCTTTATTTCACACTCTGTTAAATTACAACGGCTACATTTTGTGCAAAAAATATTACTTGTTACTATAATATGATAGTTATTGATCGATTTTATACTTTTCCTTTTTTCCTCCAACTGATATAACCTCATACCTTTCGTAGAAACGTGAATTTTATGGCTCATTATAGGCATTTAAAACTATATGCAATTTATGCAAGCTTGTGTGATTACAATGCACCACTAAAGCACATATCATTTGAGCTGACCATTCCAAAGTGAGACGAAACGCATACCCTAGATTTTGCTACCAGGGACCGCTATAGAAATAACATTATTTTGTTGTTTTATATCAAGGTCTTCAGTCTACTGAATCCGAATAGATAGTATGAATTCGAGATAAAGTTATAATTTTTTATGTATCTTAGAAAATATCAGATGAATATGGTCACAATAAGTAATAATATGAGATTTAGAAGAAAATCACCGATTAAACAGCATGATAATTTCTCAAATAGTAAGTTCAGGATTATTCATTTCACAAATATTTTCTGGTTTCTTAGTAAGAATTACATACGCAACCTAAGATGTGATCGTTCATTGACGTTTTAACGAAGACGGTTTGATTTCTGTGCATAATTATAAGTACTCAGAACCAGGACAATAAAGTGTACACTTAAGTGACCTCTGGTGCACTGGGGTGCCTGAATAGCTTCTAATCTACTGCTAGAGGGTTTCCAATAATTTCCATAGTATTTAAAATGTAATTTAGCATAGGCGAAAACCTTGAATTATTCCTCCTTAATTTTACTAGCTTAGTGTAACTTTTGTCATTTTGCGCACATTTGCAGTGTATTTAAGACTTATCAAAATTATATCCGCCACGATTTATCCGAATGCTATTTTTTATTTAAAACAAACGATTTCAACAATTTTATCATTACTTTTCATTAACTTATGTCGGAAAAGCGAAATCTATTCGAACTTGAATTTATTGATTCTCAAGCGTCATTTTAAAAGTACTTACCCCTCAGTGCTAATGGAAACTTATTTACATATGCTAGAAAACACCTTTGATTAATTCTAATTTTCGACAGTGTTTTTATAAATTCGATAAAATATTGTGTGGCATTAGGTATCTCAAAAATTCTGCTTAATTGTTCCTACTGAATTCAGTTGAAGAAGGATGAAATGTATATTCACGCATACAAAATGTAAATTGACATTGCTTGTTACTGAACCCACTGATATAGGTACAAATGCTTACTGGAGTATGGGCAATATCAACGCCATTCAGGGTTAATTTATTTCTTATTAATGACATACCAGAGAGTATGACTCCAATGGTTTATTTCCATTCAAAATTTTATCTATTTTGATACTGATCTAAGAGTCAGTGAACGCTTAAAATTAACTGGAAAGTTTGATTAACACCATAAACTTGACATTCATTTCTAACATGAACGTCACCTTAATTTTTCACAAGTTTACTACATAATTAAAAGTTATTTTCTGGCCTCAAACTTGAAAACCGACTTATGCGTGATTAGTTTATTAGTTATTCTAAACGGCCATTATGTTTTCATTTTTTTCATAGAGTGGTGTTTATAAAAAAATATTATTCATCTGTCATCCTTATCCCATAAACTAATCGTAATTCTATTATGTTTCAAGTAAACACACTCATTCACACATTGTTATACTATATTTTTCAAGGGTGAATTACTGAAAATATAAGTCTCTATTGATGTATCTGAAGATGGAGATGAAATTTGTCTGGTATCATAGAACCATGCGTATGCAACAGTTCACAGTTCTTCCTGTGAATGATGATGGCATCTGCACTAACTTCACCAAGATGCCTTCTTACGCTGTTTATCTGATATCTCTTACTTTGATAACGTTATTTCCATAATTTTCTATTGCGATATTTTGGGTGATCTACGAACGATGCGATAGCAGCACGGTGTTTGAAATAATTAAAAAAGATTGAATATTTATCAGTTTTGAAGTATCACCTATTAAATGGTGAAGTTATCTGTCTTAACACTATTAAAAGTGTCACTAGACATCTTTCGAAGGATAAATGGTAATTAATGGCAGCTGAATATATATATATATTTGCCACTTATTTACGAATAACTAATAACAATACAATATCCGCTTTACGCATGTTTTGGGAAAGTTAGAAGTATGCATCACTTATTTGCCTCCGTGTTATATTTAATTTCTCTAAAATGCACTAATTTACTGTTACTTTGCACCTAGTTGTTTACGGATGTTGAGGTAGAAGATTCAGCTTTGAAAATTGTACATTACGTCTGAATTATAATAGCTTTTCTTTTAAAGCCATATACATACTGTAAATTAAGATGTTTTGCACCATAAAATCCACACCACTGTAAAACTTCTTGGTTGCTATTATCTTTGTTAATAACTATTTTAGCAATTACGAGTTTGTTAAAGTACCTTTTTGCGATATGTAATTCTGATAGTCCAAATAATTTCGAACTATATTGCCGTCTAAACCAAGCAAATTTATTGTACATGATTTGTACCCCAATGTCAATCGTTCATAAATACTACTTTGAAATCAATTAATTTCTTACCTACTTCTAATCTGATAGTAATAGTATTATCAGTAGTTAGGAGATATGAAGAGATTTTTTAAAGCCACAATGATAATTACTTAACGGTGAGGTAAACTAATTCGAATGTGAAAACAGTTACTCCTTTGTCATGTTGCAAAGCGGTAGCGTCTCAGAAGCTGAAAGACAGAGTTGATTGGATTCTTAGCCAACTAATAAATGATTACAAGTGTATCATGGTGCCTGATAATTTTTTGAGTAATCCTATCAGCAGTAGGTACTCCACTGCGTTGATATACCTAAAATTAAAACGAAATTTTACCTTTTACTATTTAGAACTGTATGATCCTACAGCTTACATTTATTGTAAATGTTCATCATTTCTTTACTAATCATTTAGTTAAACAAAAATCATGATGCAGATCATATATGATCTACCTGATTGGCAATAACATTCGTCTCTAAAAAGACACAGTTTTATTGATGCCCCGATTACAGTCAAGTACAAATCTCATAATTCTTATAAGTAACAACAGTAGTTTCCGCTCATTTCAGATCAGCTTAAAAATGTTCTCTTTTATAACCAACAGTATGCTACTTAACTGTTTACAAGCAATTTAGTTGGAGTTATTTTCTATCATTGTTCAACTTTTTCAGTAGGTAAGCTTTCAACCTATTTCTCATGTTGTTTACTGATAAGAAGTTCACCTGATATTAGGACTAAGCGTTATATTGTCATGTGTATGACACAGAATCTCTTGCGGTCAGACATTTACATGATCTGCTGCTTTATTTGTTTTTTTATAGCGGGTCATTTGAACACGTACTTATCACTGTTTTTTATTGCCTAGTTGGCCTATAGAATATGAGTAGATTTACACAGAACTTAGCTGCCGAATGATGTAATAGTATACTGTCTGTTCTGTAACAATTAGCGAGTGATGACATCCAAATCTGTGATTAAATCGTTTGGTTAAAAAGCAATAATTTGATGAAATATCTAAGAAGAATATATTTATGTGTTTTACAGCGATTTGCAAAGAAATCTGGCCTAACTAAACAAAACTCAAATAATTATGAGCAATAATTTATGCTCGAAACGTCATACAGTTGTTAAGACTAAATCACTATGTGATTATTGAAATGAGCTTATCTAATATGGAATTACATTCCGTCACAGTGCCCAAGTCTTACACTTACACTAATTAAACAAAGTGAAAGTGTTAAATTAATTTTCTACTGACGAACAGATTCACTTATTTATTCTAAGACGTTTCTTTAAGAGGACGACGCTTAGTAGCTTATTGATAAAGCAAGGAATCTATAATTCTACGGGTGCTTGTTGAATAGTATTTATTAAGTCAGAATCGGAAATTCTGGGATTAGCCAACATTTACACAAAAAGGCGAAAACTATTGGAATGCAATAAATAAATTACGAAAGAGACACCTTTTCAGAAAAGTATTCAGTTTTGGTTAGCAGAAAGTTTTATATTTATATTTAGCTAAAATAATCATAAATACTCACTGTGTAAGTAACAAATATTATGTCTTCCTGGTAGTATTTTGTGGTATACTAAATAGTTATTTCATTTAGGCTTGCATTTTTTAATAGTTATAGGTAGAATATTCTTCTGCAGTTTTTTCCTCTCTTCTGTAGCTATAAAACGAAGAATAACACAAAAAACAGAAGCAAAGTATTTAAGAATACAGCAGTCTCTAATTCCACAGTGCTTCAGTATGAAAAGTAATGGTGAGATAGATAACCTTTTATCAAACAATGAAATTGTCAAATACTTCGGTCACGCTTCCAGCCTGTGATTACTGTCAGTCTTATATACAAATAATCGCTGACAATAAATAAAACGTTATTGTCAGCTGCACGTGAAATTAAAAAATTAAAGCTGTTTTCTAAGCAAACGAAATCCTGATACGAAAACCTACAATGTTGTATTTCTATAGGAAAGGATTTCTGAAGTAATGTCATAAATAAAATTACTTGTAGAAGTTAAGATATGCAAAACAGCATTGATAAATCCTAAACTCGTCCTGTTAATACATGAGAAAAACATGAAAAATATAGATGAAACCAATACTGTTTACTCTTTCATGAGTTGGTTTACTATTTGTTTTTGCAATCCATTGAAAATTTTAATACCTGTAAACAATATTGTGGTTTTCGTCGTGATAACCATAACTGCTTCGTCTGTCTGAGTAGTTTGAAGTTGTCCGAATACCAGATTGACTTCTTGGTCGACACATGTATAAGTAGACTGGTCCTTGATTATTGGTTATAATGCCTTTATGTGGGTCGTAAGTTAGGTATGTTACATCCAATAAACCATCGACAAGTCGACGTCTGTTATCACCATCTAATTGAGGAGTATAGCTTTGTTTAAGTGGTGTTATTGTAATTGGTGATGTATTATATCCATAAGTTGAATTAACATGATGATTTTCCGCTACTGGAAGTGTGGCACGATTGTCCTCAACTTCAAAGTTACTCACTGATCGAACTCGACCTACATCATCAACAACGACTTGACGTATGGATGTTAAATCCCGCAACACTTTATCCTTATCGCTCATAGCTCGCCTAAGATATTCAGCAACAGTTTGTGACGTTTCGGAAATTTTGCATTTGTATATTTCATAGTATCTATTCGCACTGTACATGGAATCTATACAAAGTACAAAAAACTGTGGTCTTGTTCGGCTTAAGAAAAGCTCTTTAATTTCTTTATACGAAACCCATGGGCGAAATGGTATTTTACCAGATGATTTATTGCGTTCAAAACTAATGCGATCTTCTAATAAACTCCCAGTACAATGGGACTGCCTTTTACGGTGATATTTTTCCAGAAGTGTAAGGGCTCTTGCTTCAGAGTATAGTTCAGCTGGATTTGCATTTATACGGTAAACTGGACAAATATGCGTTTCATAAAATAAATGTTGTCTACTGCCAACATGACGCAAACAGTCATCGATGTAATCTCTTTCACGTTGGGCATTATACACATTTTTATTTCTCATTTTAATATAGTTTAATTGTGAATTAAACTTTCAACTGCAATTTATACACGTTTAAATATATATATATCTATATACGGAGTAAAAATAAAAATGCAGAAAGCTTAACACGTAAAATCTGTTTATGTGCGATTTGGGTTTATATAGGCTAGTTTTGAAAGAAAGACAGATGAAAAAAATTTTTAAATCGTTTTACGTGAATGACGAATAAACCAGTTGACTGAATTTAGCAAATGAAGAAAACAATTCAATTCCAAATGAGCAATAGTATGTGGTATTTTTATGTTGCAAAAAATGTTTTGCTTTTTCATCAATTGAAAAAAAATCAACGACTAAACAATGAAGTGTTTTTCTATTGAGAAAGTAGTCGATTTCTTACTAAAGAAGTACGTAGGTGTAAGTCAGTTGAGTCCCTCCCACTTATACTACTTAATACGACTGCATAGTCAAAAATCACTTATGCAAAAGAATGTATACAGTAAGTGGAAATAATAACATAATAAAAAGATAGTTTTTAATGCAGTGTCTGTATGTATGCGAAATTTTGCAAGGTAAGGTCTGGGAAAAATTTGAATTTCCTAAATTCATACTATATGATCGTAGAATTTTCCTCACTGGATATTTCTATATCTTTGGGACTAACTGCACTAAGCTATCCACATTTGCTGTTATGAATCGTTCTTACTTTTTCAAATTCAAAGCTATTCGAAGGAAATTTAGGGCTTCAAGTACCTGGGTCAGATTTGAATAAGTAGATAGATTAGATGAAATGCCGAATTTATGAATGGCAACCGTAAATTAATTGCTTCAAACCCCTTATGTTGTGTGCCAATTTGACAGCTAAATACATAATTTTAGACCATTAATGATGGTAAACAGTTAGCTAAGAATGATTTTCACGGACTACTGATTTATTTCGCTCGATTACATGAATCCTTGCTAAACCTGTTCAAACTCCTAATTCACTATTGAAAACGTATATTAAATTATTCATTTTGTGATATTGTATCTTAAAAGTGCTCTACATTCAATCCAGCAATTAGTATGTGACAGAGTAACATATTCTAATAAAGCGGATATTTATCCGAAGTCAAATCAATCACTTCAGAATGCTCAAATAAGACAAAATCTGTTTTCTCAAACATTACCCGCTGTCCAATATTAATTGACAAAATTAACAACTACATATAAGTTGTTGCTGAATTTTTAAAACTCATACACAATCATAAAAATTATGCCAATTCACAGATACACTTAGGAATCAGTAAGTTTTCTTCGATGTGCTACCTTTTTCTGATATATTTCCTATTAGAACAGGTTAATATCTGTTTGTCCATAAGGTCACCTAAATTTGTTTTTATAGCTTTTTCGTTGTGTTTTTGCTTGACCAAACAGTTATACTATCCAAATAATAGCAAACGGTGAGAAAAATGAATAACTGTCTATGAAAAAAATTAGGTGATGGGGTTCAGAAAAAAATTTATTTGAAAAGTGCCACACTTAGAAAAGAGTTATAAGAGAAAGGAAATCGGATATCTATTTTATTTTTCCTTAGCGTTGTGGACAGATGAATTTACAAACGGTCAAATCGAAAAACGTGAGTATAGTAACAACCAAACAATGTGTTGCAAACCAGATGACTATGAATTTGTAATTCCGCTGACTACTAACAAAGAATGGTAAACGCTAAATTAAACTAGGATGAAATAACGTATACTGTTCAGCAAATATTATCAGAAAGGACACTAATTAAAAATCTTTGCGGTAATATTATTCCAGATGGAAAACTAAAGCATTTGACTGTACGCAGACAGAAGCATTACCTACAAGCCATAAATTAAAATGTTGCAGTTTCAATGTGCGTTCCATCCAAAACCGATTAGGAAAACTATAGAGCTTGAGTACAACGTGATGCCAGTGGATTTGAAAGAAATGCCATAACCAAACTTATTCTCGAAAATGTTCAGTCAACTTCAACAAACACTCCCCATGAACATCTCTTCGTACCAAGCGATTCCTCATTCATGATTACCAAAATTTATCAATTCAAATTAACAGCCGACAAAGACAAGTTTGTCAGGAGATGAAGTAATATCATTCATGGTGAATTCGAATGAGTTCACTTCATATGTGAGCTTGAGTTGAGGATGTTGTCTTGGAGGATAACGGAAACTTCGACAATTGACCACTCAGGTAAGAGAACTCAGCCACACAAACATTTTCGTTATGTTTGTTGTTATTTTATTAAGTATTATTGGCAAAGTTAGTATTCGAAATTACCGAGTAGAAGATATAGGTGAAAAAGATATCCAACAGTCAACAACAAGTGCCAGACACTATCAATGAGAGAAATTTGAAGCGGGAAGTCACTCGTCTCACTTATCTAGCTGAGCACCATCGTTTCCGATTCACAAATCATGGACGACGATGTCGAAGGCAGCATCGGAAAGCCTAGATAAACCCTAACTGCTCCGAAATCAGTGTGGAAATCCACTCCACTCAAAATTGAGAACAACATTCCTATTTTTAACATTGATGTCAAGTCAGCTCTTCTATGTGGTTCACAGACTGGAGTGTCAAGAAACCATCTCAAACGGGCTTCAGAATTTCGTCAACAGCTGACACAACTGGCTCGACACTGAAGATCAGGTGGTCAGAAACGAATAACAGCAAGGAACTCTGAGAACGAAACTGTCAAGATTCTGTTGTCCAAGAGATATGCAGGATGATGTGGACATGGATTGGATTCGCGTTGAGGTATACGGTTGAGCGAGATCCGGCGCCAGTTTATCGAGTGGAATTAGAATGTGAATCGACTAGATTGGTGTTCTTAGGTGACATAGATTGGATCATGTTGGTAGGAGATGAGAGGGTGTGGGCAATCGTGGAGCGTGGAGTTTTGTTTTGCCTAATGGGAATACTAATGATAGTTTTTAATGTGTCCATTTTCGAACTCAACTCTTCTATCCACTCTTGCGCAACTTATTTTTATATAATTTATGGCTTCTTTATAAATCAGATAAATGGTTTAAAAATAAACTTGGTTATCACCATTAGAATGATTTTGGTGCAGAATGAAATTGATAATAAAACGAAATAAAATGTTAAGGTTTATCTAACCACGTTTAGCTATTTCATCTAGCTAATATTTCATTGCGAATTTAGGGTGTAATTCTCAGTTCACTGTTATTTCCAGTGAAGATGACCATCTGCACAATGTTCCTAGCGAAATTTCAACATGCAACAGACAAGTTTGAAGTAACTGACTTCAAAACTGCAGAATTCAAATGACTTGAAGATTTTTTCCACCAATGGGTCAAAATTAAATATTGACTCTAGTTTCCCAATAAATAGTTGCAAATTAAATATTCACTAATATCAAACTGCACTATCATATATGTAAATACATATATATATATATATATATTTCGAAAGCTTTCCGATGGACGATTTGTTTGGAAAATCCTTCCTGGACAATCTATTTATAATATTTATACTTATTCAGATATTTCAACTAACTTCCTAATTATAGTAATAATAATAATCTACTTTTTTTAAGTTAAATTTTAGATTTTCCCGTCGATTGATTGGACCGAAGTGCTTGGTCTCAGGTTGACATGTCGGCTTCTTGTGCAGATGCTTCGACGATGTGTGGGCATGTAATTAGAGGTTAATTGGTGGGTGGTGACTAGCAGTGGAATCTAGGATGTGCATTTTGTCCAACTTTATTCCAAAAACAGTACTTATTATACGGAATGGGATTATCAGCATTTGTCACAATATTGCATCTGATTTACTCAAAATTTAAAATTAAATTAAAACTAACCAGAGGAATTTGTCCACATTCACGGTATAAATTCAAAAATATTTGGAGTACAAAATGAGAATAATAAATATAAAAATAATAACAACATCAGTGAGTTTGTTTGAAACTGTATTGTCGATTCAGTTTGGAAATTTTAGCATGTTATAGATTATTGAATCTAATGTTCTGTTGATATAGTATAGTGAGGGGAAAGGCAAAATTAACAGTCATAACACAGCTTAAATGATGTTCACACTTATGAAAAAGATAAACAAAAACAAAAAGTTGAGAGGATTATAAATATAAGAAATACAATAACAATAAAGCTTGAGGTTATAAGGGTGGAGAAAATGGTTTATTTACTAGTGCAAAGAAGGTTAGATAGTTCATGCCTGACACTATTTTCATCACATAAAACACGTGCCAAATGTGGTATAGTGGGATTTCTATACTTAAAAGTCCCTGCATAAAGTCTTCTGAAAAGACTCCTTGTTTTACCTGAGGAGACACAAGGTTGGAGCTGCGGGTAAAGTGGATGCTCACAGTCTGACAAAATTCCTTTAGCAAATTTGTTGCATGAAATCAAGTGCCTATCAGTGACGATGTCAGCGATACTGCCCAGTGGGATACCACTTGTCCTACTGACAGTCTTCAGAGTTCTACGAAGTATGATATAGTCTTTTTTAAGCAATCCAGGAAAGAATAAGGGTGAACAGTAAAGAAAAATAGGTAAGATGTAAGAGTTGACTAACTGTCACAGAAGGGGTGGGTTGAGTTATGCCTGAGTGACTTAACTTCTTAATGTGAAAAGTCAGGAGAATTATTCCTTTATAAATCACTAAGACATGGGAAGACCAGGATAGGTCAGTAGAAAGAATTAATCCGAGATACCTTATTTCAGACTTGATTTCTATATTACTATCATCAATTTTGCAGCGGCCATAAAAACCGACAGCTTCATTTAACTTTCTTTAACATCTCAAACTCATATTAACAGTCTGACATTTGGAAGGATCTAGTTTAAAGCCATTAGACAAAAACCATTTGTTGACTTCTGATAGAGAGCTCTTTTTCTTAGTACAGTCTATTTTTTATTGTATCTCGACTCCACACAGTATTTTTGATACAAGTATGGAATTTTCAGCATGTGATATCGGTAGCCCAAATTTAGCAGGCTGACCATTGGTATCAGGTGTGCGTCTGCCGGGGATCGAATTCCGGACCATGTGCATGGTCGGCGAGCGTCCTAACCGCTATGCCGCCGACGCAAGCATTTGGAAGTTAACAGACACTGAAACAGTCAGGTCATCAGCATATTTGGCAGAGTTCATTTTATCAGATAATGACAGCCAGGTTCAACTCAAAAGGAAGGAAGGTTGCAATCATTCAATGCTATGCGCCTACAAACGTCTCAGAACAAGAGAAGAAGGAGGCCTTCTACAGACAACTACAAGCAGTAATGGACAACGTCCCAAACGGCGATATCAGAATCCTGATGGGCGACATGAATGCGAAACTGGGAGGAGACAATGCAGGAAGAGAACTCACCATGGGTCGTGAGGCCCTCGGTGAAATGAACGAAAATGGCGAACTCTTCTCAGACTTCTGCGCCTTCAATG